CAAACTCCAAACTTCTTTAAAAATAAAATAAGCTATCTATTCTAAGCAGTGTAAAGTTTAATACACCGGTTATCAAACTCTATGGTTTCAGAACAACTTACAAGTTATATATTTAGACCTGAATTACTCTCAATGCCAAGATTAGGTTTCATCAATACAATTAACGATAAATGTTGTTTCTCTTTCATAAAAATAATCCACTGGCTTATTAAAAGTACCACCTACGAGTTCTTAAAGTATGTCGTTTTGAAAAAATAATGGAGACGGGCTCAGTAAAAAAATTCATTATAATTTATATTAAAATATGTGGAATTGATATTTAATATACGTATATATGTGTGTAAATTATAAAAAATAATATGAAAAATAATTCTTTTAAGAGTTTTAAGTGTCTTAAGCCCAGTATCGAGATAGCTGTAATAATTTTGTTAATGATGGAACCGCTTACAACGACCTATGAAATATCATTTTCTTTCAGAATATAGTAGCAAAGAGAGTTTACGTTTTATTTTTATAGAGACTACACTAGTATTTTGACGAGAGTAGGTAGTTGTCTTGACTAATCTAGAGGTACTTGTCAAATTGCTGGTAATCTTTTTTTTTAAGGGGAAAATCATCAAATGACCCCTCTTGTTCTGGGTGAGGCAAGAGGGAGTGTCAGACTCCTACTGACTAAAAAGCCCCCTTAACTCCTCCTTCTCAAAGCCTGGCCGCGGTATATAATTTCGCTTACACCCACGCCCCGGCCTGGCATCGGCTCTAGAAGCTTCGTGGTTACCTGGGTGAAACATGATTTGATAATTTCCAATAAGTAAAATATCAAGTCATATTCTAGCATGGTACTTTGTTGAAAACAATTGTTGTTATTACAAAACGATTGTTTCCTGATAGTCTTTAATAAGGAGCCTGAAAATAAAGGAAGCGGGCTTCCTTTTGATTCTTAAGCAATTGTTTAACTCACATTCTGAGTATAGTTTTTCTCTTTTGAGATCATGCAGCCTGATATATTAATAAGCATTTCCCGTCATTCATAATAATCGAGATAAAATCGTAACAAGTAGCCTGCACTTGAAATAATGGTAAAGTAAAAAGAGATACTTTTGTAAATTCTTTTAAATTACAAAAAGTAAACAATTATTTTAAACTCACTGTAAACAATAAGAACACCAAAAAAAAAAAAAAATATGTCTTTGTATACATTGGTTTTGCTCATCTCACTTCATTTTAAATAATTGCAACTGTTCTCAGAAGAAAATTATCTGTCTCAAAACAGGTTTCACTTTGTTTTCTTTGTTGAAATGCTATATAGTATTATTTCCAACGTTCAAAGCTGACTTAAATGTTGCCTGCAGCTAACAAAGCTCTGATGCTTCACTAATCTTAGGAAGCGAGTAACGATATTTAAAATTATCTGTTTTACTTGTAAATTAGGGCCAGATGAGATACAATTTTACGAAAAGTTTTATAAAACATATTATTAAAATCAAGACGACTTCTGTTTTAAGGTTTACTAATTAAAAGTAGGTCTTACAAAATAAAGAAAAATATTTACATTTAGCTCCCAAAATATGTATTTATTTTCCGATTTACCCAGATTCTAGTTTAATTTCAAAAGATTTTAAAGAAATTTAAGCGTTGTGCTTCATAGATCGCGATACGGAACTGAATGAAACTGAGTAGCTCACTTGTAATTAGAAGATTAGAAGTATTTTTAAACGTGAAGCAACGGATTAAACCCAGACTCGTATATATGGACAGTAATTTAAAATGCTTTTTAGTTCTAGAATCATACAAAGCGTAATGATGCAACATGATAATATTCAAATGAGCAAATATGCATTTGCTGAGATATATAAACTACTTTTATTTAAAATCAGTAATATTTCAAAAAAATAAATCTCTTTTAAACTATAATATATTTTTAACTCTGCGCAAAATGATTAAGAAGAAAATATATTCAGTTTTAAATTTTTCTCGAGATATTCTATTTCTTCGGTCTGCTTCTATAGGGTTAGTTTGAGTTAGTTAGTTTGACTAAATTGTTATTGTTTTATAGAAAAATCGTTGATTCATTGATTTTTATTTCATCAGTTAAAAACATAAACTTATATCTAGTAGAATATTACCATATAACGAAAATTCAACTTAATCAAAAAAGATTTCTTTTGTTTAATGAATATAAACTGGTTTTTTTATCACTTTTCTATTCTTATAATAAAACAAAAAAAAAATATGGGATTTTATTTGAAGATTTTGTATTTCCTTATATGTATTTATAATATATAAATATCTACAAACAGTCCAAGATTTCGCATATTATTTATTGCTTTAACTACTGTTAAAAACAGTTAAATAGCCCTTAACTTTATTGAATCATACATTTGGAAACATACACATTAAAAATGAGTTGGATTCCTTTAAAACGGTTAATTATTATGGTGCTCCTACCGTCTTTTAAATTTGATTGGTTAATTCTTTCTTCTTTTAGTTACTTTTAAGACTATGCTTAGTTGTTGTCAAAAGTACGTCTCCTTATTTTAAATCGAGACCATAGCTCGAGTTTTTAGGTCACAATTATTTTTCCTTTACAAAGAATGTCTCGGCTATAATTAAAACTTTACACATCAATATTGTTTTATGAAGTGTCACTGAATACAAAACATTAATTCCATAAGCAATTTATGATAGGAGCACAAAGTAACAGAGTAGGGTTAAGATCATATAGTAAATTCCAAGAAAGGGATTTATTGAAGTCTTTTATTCGGCAAGACGAGAATGATAAATATAAGATTCATGCAATGAGTTTAGAAATGCAGAACGGTTAACGAAGTGGTTAGACATCTCAATGCGTTCCAGATGACTCTCAAAGACCAAAGTAATTTAGTTATATGTATAAAGGGGGTAAAGGTACCGAGAAAACTTGCTATATCTGTGGAAAGGCAGTTGGAATTGCAAATCATTTGCTGTTGGGATATAAGGTACATGATCACGATAGGCTTCTAGAAATCATACGTGAAGCGGTTAGTCTTTCGGTAGCCAGAGCATAAACGGAAGTAACCACAAACGAGCGATCAGTAGGTTTTGTGAGAGAGGGGCTACAAAATCGAACGTCAAGCCTTACTCCATCCTTAAAGCGACTTCTGATTGGACTATTATGATGGACACGTATGCAAAACAATATAAATTCCCCGAGGATATTTGTTAGTCGGCCTCAGACCAGATTTATTTTTGTATTCGTGAATTTTAAAGCGCGTTGTGATGATAGAGCTTACGGTTCCTTGGGAAACATACATCCCCAAAGGTGAACAAATATTACCAGCTCACTAACGAACTCACTTGAAATAGGTTCGTCGTGGATTTGTACTGGTAGAAGTAGGAGCGAGAGGTTTAACAGCGAAATCTCTCTACAACCTGTTAAAAGATTTGGGCTTTTCCAGACCTAGCTTTAATACATTCTTGGAACATACATCGAAGGCAGCCCTAGTTGGTTCTTTTCAAATTTGGTTACGTGGAGAGAGGAGATTGGGCAGTGGAGGTGAGCGTTTAACGCGCGTTAGATAGGGGCCCCTTAAACCTACACCTGGGTCTCAAGTCCCAGGCACTGTGGAAGCTCCTCTCACTGCAACGCGATGGATCTGGCACCCTCACGGAGAAATCCATGGAATGCTGAGAGGTTCCGTCTCGTCTCTGTCGACCGATTCCAGAGTTTTTATAAGATCTGTATCTAAAATAAAACTATTTAATTAAAAAACGAGACTATAAACCAAATTAATTAAGATCTTATAAAAATAGTTATTTCAACTAAAACTATAATAGTCCAAACAATGCAGCGTTTATTATTCTTTTAATATGAAAATGCAAATGCATTCATCGTAACAACATTGTGGATACCGTGTGAAAATGAAAAGCATCGTGCAAAAATAATATAATTTTAAGGAGAAGTTAGCAATTATGAAAATTCAAGTCTTTTTTATTTTAAATTTCTTACAATTAATGTTAGGTGACAATTGTTACTTTTCATTCTGTAAATCTTTTTAAACACGCTTTTATTTTGTAATTTTTTATTTCTTTAGTTTCTAAGCTGCTCCACACTTTTTAACATCATTATGGCTAATTAGTAAAACACGCATATCAGGAATCAATTGACCTTTTATGCAACATTTGTATGCATATATTTGTATATACATATATAGATATACATGTAGAAAATATAAATAAGATACATCCAAACTTACAAATTTCGAAACTCATTCCATAATTTCGTAAAAGATTTTAAACAAACTTAATATGGCAGGAACAAGTTCAACTAAGCATATAAGCCTCTGTTTAAAGTTAAAAATGTGTAAGGATAAGAAAAATCAAACATATATCTTTTTTATTGAACATAATTTTGAAAATAAAGGAAATAAATTTTAAAACTTTTTTTATTGTAATTGCCAACAATTATAATTATTTTATTTATTTCCTACCGAAATCCTTTAAAACTTTGTGTGAAATTAAAGTTAAATACAAATACAATTAGTTACATGTCTTGAAACTAGATAGCTGATACACTTGAATCGGACGCCACAAACGACGCTCACAATGCGACGTTACTCAGCTTTATCAGATGGCGTGTGTTAATTGACTAGAAATACTGATAAAATAGATATTTACCCCATGAAAACTATTATAATAAAGCAATTGATTACATTCTTTTTTCCTGACTCCCAACTGTTCAATTATTTTGTTTTAATTAGCCTATAAAAAATCATAATTCATTGAAGCATCCAATTAAATTGTTAGACTTCATAATATTATACAATACTTTATTATGCGTATCTAATACATTATTCAAAGCTTTTATAATAAAACACATATATTCCGAAGGCAAATTTTATTCATGGTCCAACGTATACTGAATGAACGGACCCATTCAATGTAAAATTTCGCATTTACACTCACTTATGTTACAATATTTACAGACACATATAATACGAGTAATTGAACACCAAGTGAAGTTAGCTGTTTGCAAGAAAAGCGAGCGCAGCTAGCGAGAAGGCGAGATGGGGTGCCAGGGAAGACCCTGATGGAGAGGCACCAGCCGCGGCACGAGCTCGTGCATTACCAGCGCCTTCTCCACGACACGCAGCACCGCCAGCACTTGCCAAACTGCGACCCCGAACTTTAAGAGGAGATATACATACATTTTCTTCAGCAAAATCCGGTGTTAAGGCCAATGGATTAACGAGAGGATCACGTCCGCACTCGCACGGTAAATGGTTTCCGTGAATCACGATGTTTTCCACTTCTAAAACCACTGCCTCCGGCGTTTCAAGCATGTGATTACCACTTAATTTAAAAGTCCGGACGCTGTTGTTTTGTATTAGAGATAATTCTTCAATACCATCTATTTTGTTGTTACACATCTCCAAAATATCAACTCGCCTCAGGCCGTCAAACGCTCCAACTTTTATGACTCCTAAATCAGACTCCCGCAAAGCCAGTCGGCCGACTCTAGTGAGTCCATGAAAAGTATCAGGTAAAAGTGCCGGTAAATCCATATATGCTAATTCTAAAATTCCAACGCCTTCTAATCCCGCGAACGCTTGAGGTTCGATAGATTTTATGCCAGACGGTAACTCAATCTGAGTAACATCATTGAGACCAGAGAATGCATGAGCTAAAATTTTCTTAATTGGATTATTTCGCAGCGAAATAAGTTTAATAAAATTTGTCCCAGCAAATGCATATCCTTCAATTTGTGCTATCCTGTTGTGTGTTAAAATGATCGACGATATATTTTGAAGGGCGGAAAATGCAAAAGCGTCAACCGTTGCTAGTGGAGTATGTTGGATGTATAATTCGTTCAGTCGTGGCAGTCCTCGAAAAGCAAACGGGCGGATACGAGTTAAATTGCAAGCATCAAGTGATAGACGACGCAGTTGACGTAAATGTGCAAAGGCGTCAGAGCGAAGAACTCTTAGATCAGTTCGCGACAGTGATAACTGAGTGACGCTAGAACTCAATGCCGACGGAACTCCACGTAACGTAGCGCTGTTACATACCACCTGAGAACAAATTTATAATAATATCAAGTTGACATCCTTATGTTAATTTTTATGTCTTACCCTTGTAAGACATATATTATAATAAACTTCATCAAATCTCTGTATACAATCAACAAAGAAAGGTGTTCATCGCTAACAGGGATAAACACAAAAGGGCAGTCCCTCGTAAGGGACGGAACATCGCATATATATAATTGTATATGAACTCAATGAACGATCAATGCCTCGTCGCAATTGAAGCGTTTCTGTTATTCTCATTGTTTGTTTTGTCAATAAAATTAATCCCACCCCGAATATCCCCATGGTACTGTAGCATTGCCATATTTTGATTGAATGGTTTCAAACTTAATCTTTGCAAATAACCAATATCAATTTCATTTGCGTATTATACAATACATTTTATAATATAGCCGTTATCCTTTGAATTCAATGTTTTCAACATGATACATTGTGGCGATTAATATATCGGCTGAATAATGTATTGAAACGGTGCCAAATAATACTATGTATAAAAATATTTTCGGAATAAAATAAATCAGAGCCTGTACAAAATAATCTTTCAAGGTAATTTAATATTCGTTATTCAACAAAAAATGTAACTATTACAGTTTGCTTTTTGTTTTTCTGAATTTAAAAATCATTGTATAACAAAGAATTCGGCGTCAAAGTTTTTTTCCACAATATTAAAAAAGAAAACCAAATAAATATGACAGTTAGATGAATATGTAAAAGTTTCAAAGTTCGAATTTTATGCGAAAAATTAAATAGTACGGGAGCGTTGAATTTACCTGTGATTGTGATAGACAGATGCATTGTGTCGGACACGAGGGCACCACTGTCGAAGTCAGAGCTACATTGCTCGCTTCGCATATCACCGCCCACGCCAGGGTCGCAGCCACCCAGCGGGCCACCCTGCGATTAAAATGATTCATTTTTACTTAAATAACACATTTATTAAGATTTTGGAATACTTTTATTACACGTTTATTTTTATACGATACTTTTTTAACATAATAAAATATGTTTACTTTATTAATTCGATTGTTTTTTGTCGATTATGATATAAGTTTTGATAACAATTGCTATATCTTACCTATTTGATTTAGCCAAAATGCTTTAAGTTGAATTTCTGGCATAATTTAATAATTATGAACATAAATAGAAATAAACATTTTTTTTATTGCTCATATATATTTACTAAGCCAGCTTTATGTAACGTCTATTATTTGTTCACATTTAAAGTAAGAAACGTTATTTTGTATGCGACATTTGTAACAAAAGCAGTTGTACTGTCTGTTAAATTTATATAAACAAACGGAAGGGCCGCTAACCATAGAACATTAAAATACATTTTTTATTCAGGCCATGCGGAATGGTTTTAAAACGGAAGAATCGTTTTTAGAATGAATTTCGCAAGGCCTATATTGTTACCCAATCCATTACCATATACTGTTTCTAGTAATTAAAAGAATATATAACAACAATATTACTTACCTTTAGCTTTATAAAATGAGGGCAACGAAGAATTAGTTAAGTTAAATTTAAATATCTAATTTAGATTGAAAAATTTACACGCGCATAATTCAAACGTGCTATTTGAATGCTCAACTGAATTAAATGTTAAAAAAAGAACTATATGCTTAAAACCTTTACATAGCTCATTAAATTATTATAAATTATTATTTATTTATTTTATAATAATGGATACTTTATGCAATTAAAACTTAGAAAGAATAAAACAACACATGAGGAAAAATACTAATTATAATGACGCAGAAATCCACTACAAAGTTGTAAGCAGCGTCAAAGTTTGTGTTTGCAATTTATCATAATCCGTCTCCGTTGATCAGCTGTTACCTAATTAAAGAGTATTTAGAGAATAGCTTTGTTAGAAAATTGAGGTTAATGAAATTAATATTGGCTTGCCTTCTGTTCACGGTAATGAAGTAATTATTAAATTCTCTATCAACTATAACCAACTATTCTCATTATTATATCTCTATAGACCTTTAAATAAATATAATTTTACTTTATAAGTGTGTTCATATATATATTTTATAGGTCACCTATTTAAACGCGCAATATGACAAATACAAAAATTAAAGTCTGGATTGATTTTTTCTACAAAAATATACTAGTGCTATCAAATAACAGACCGGCGTAACGGTAATTTAAATACGTTTCGTATTACAATTAGAAGTAACCTGATATAAGACGATGCCATTGGCGGGCGCAGACAGGCGACGCCCGCCCAGCGCTCTCACCTACTCAATTCCATCTGAGACTCTACCACGACCTGCGAAGGAATTATTTATAGATTAATAATAAATTTGTACACTCTGATGAGTTTGCAATCCAATATCTAACTGTACTCACTCTCCGCATAAAATTTTTATGTAGTTTAGATTTACGGTTATCATGATACATATATTAATAAAAATTTACAAAACGGTCGCCTCTAATAAATTGTATATATACTTTCTGAAATGACATAGAGATTTTTTGATAGTTCATACACCCCTAAACATCATTATTTTACAGATTAGCACTGAAACCTATTAATAGTTTTGTGCAACAGAATCAAAAGCTTTCTTAAATCTCATTTAAAATGTGGTACAAATGGCGTAATTAGTTCTTTGCACACATAGTGCTTTATTTATGACTTTTTCAAGGTTTCCCTTGACTTTAAGTAGAGGCAACATTTACAGCACAAATACATAAAATATTAAAAATCATCACGATGTATTTTCTATGTAAGTGTAATTATTATGCAATGAGGAAAGCACATTTGCAGACACATTATTTATAGTTATCGAAAAACAAATAAAAATTATCATTTAAAGTTATGAAACTCAGCCCTTTAAAATTATATAATACTAGTTTTTGCCCGCGACTTCGTCCGCGTTAGTTTGTCAAGAGTAATATGTGTAGGTATAGCTGACCAGGCAATGGTGGCCTAGTGGTTAAAGGGCCCGCCTCTCGTTGCCGAGGGCGTGGGTTCGATCCTGGCCCGGGCAAGTACCAATGTGATTTTTCCGAGTCATATGTACTTTCTAAGAGTATTTAGACATCACTGATTAATGCTGATTCCCAAAGAGAGGGTTGATGTCAGGCAGGCGGCCGGTCGTAAAAACAAATAGCCAAAACTATTCACAAACTTGTAAGGCAGACCCTGGCTATAGCTGGGAAATTGCTGACCAGACAAACTCTATTCTGTCTTAGAGGCCATAAATAATCAGGTTTTTCCTGTTTCAATCAAACAGAATGATTGACATATTAGTTGGTCACATCTAATGTCAAAAAAACGTTTGTATGGGAAATAGAAAAGGGCTGTTTTTAGGTTTTCCCGGCAATTATTTCAATTTTTCTCACCTTTTAAACCTTTCCTGGACTTCCAGGAGTATTTTAAGACTAAAATTAACCAAATCGTTTCAGCCGTTCTCGAGTTTTAGCGAGACTAAGGAACAGCAATCCATTTTTATATATATAGAAGATAATTGCAGAGTTATGAACTTAGCAATGAGTGATATGTGTATCTATAAGAATATATACTTATATATTTCCAAAAAATATATGTATGTAGTTACTAAAGTTCATGTCTTATAATTCGTTTTCATAGAAAATTTAAATTTGCCAATGATTATATGGTACTCATAAAAGTATTCCAAAACAATTTTTTATCCTCTGAGTCATTTATTTTGAAATAATTTTTATATTCCCTTGTTTCGTAATACATACTACAACTTTTTCACATAATAATAAGAAAGAATAGTATGTAACCTTAATACAGATTGCTTTGACATGATGCTTTCTTATGTACATATTTGTAGGTCTTCTTTTTATACAGGCCAATGGTGTAACATATGTATTTGCCATTGTATTACTTAAAATATCTCTAACTTTTTAAAAAGAGCAAAAAGAAAGTACTAACCAACACGACATAAACAGGCTCCGACCAGAGCCTTTCAGACGCTGACGATAATAATTGTAAACTCCGGAGGCAAACCGACACTCTAATTTCTAAAACTTTAGGGAAGTTATGGACGAAATAACATCAACATGGAAATCTTATGCCGTAGTAGTTTTATTAATTGTTTAAATATATAATATATACTTAAAAAAAAAAAGTCTCTTCTGCAGATTTGAAATTCTGCTGAAGCAATATCGGTAATTATATAACAACGTCAGCGCTCATTAGTTGATCCGTGCATGTAGTTAACATTGGACACTCCAATAAACACGTTTTTGCATGATAAACATACCGTAACCAATTTACATATATGTATAATACAGCAGTATTTAAATGTAACCGATGAACACAATCATTGCAAAGGTTGTAATGTGTGAAATATAAGTTCGTATATCAAAAATAGCGCGCTGCGGACTTCGAAAACGTCGTTTTGAATAATGCTTGAGTTCGAAGCCAAGAACTTAAAATTGCAGAGTATGTTTACTCTAGCGTGGAGGCCCCCAGAGATTGTCCCCCTGAGTATATTTACCCCACCCACTCGAGACATACGCTTTTAAACTAAACCATGCTTATATTATGCGAAAGATATTACTTAATAAATAAACATACTCTGTGATAACGTGTTGGGTTACAGAGCAAGCCCAAAAATATGTAAAGTAAACTGTTCCTTTTATTAGCACTTTCTAACACTCAAGGGATGAAATTTATATAAAATATCCCTTAAGAAAAATACATATAAAAAGACGCAATTGAGCCCATTATTATTAAAATTTCTTTTCATGTTTATATTGAACTCTCAAATGAGGCATATATTTATTAATTAATCTGAAAGAGCGAACTTTTTCATGAAGTCTGCTTATTCTCGAAAGTTTTTATTGAAAACTAAAATTACTTTTTATTTAATATAAATTTTGTTCCATCGTTTCTATATAACAATTCAGAGAATATTTAAATCAATCCTCTATTAAATTTCAGATGAAAATTAAAAAAAGTTTCATGAAAAAATTCATGTATTTTATGTCATCATTATCGACGATCTTCAATTTTGGAATAGTATTGTACAATTAATCTTAGGAAATTTCACAGCGCTCAACGTAGTGGACAACTTTAATTGGTTACATGTACAATCAATCATAGAAGTAGTGAACCATGACATGCATAGAACTAGACAAAACTAGACAGTACATATCAAAAACCTTTTGTTTTAAATATGGGTATGTAGGGCAAACTTTAAATGTCATTTAAAACACATAAGCACACATTTTTCACAAGCTAACGAGTTTCTGCTTGTGTAGGGTTTAAATTTATGTTTGGTTTTAAAATCGTTGACATGTTTTTGGTCATCAAGTTTTATATTTCTTTACTATCTTTCAGAAAATCACGAAGTCAAATTCTAAAATCGGATTTCTCTTTTAAATCCAACCTCATTTTATGTCTTATTATACATATAAGGTGCCTTATACGAAATTTTGAAACTATTTTATTCAGAAATATGGCATTGTTTCAGATATATTGCATATAAATGTGATCTATAGTAATTTTATCTTTAGTCGTTGTACCGATTTCAATGTTTAGAGTTAAGTTTAATTAGTCCTCAGGCAATGAGAGATAAAGATGTTTCGAGGACAATGTACATATTTATTTACATAAATGTATATAACGCTATGACAGATCGTTAAATGAAAATAATATTAAACATGAGACTATACTAATGAGACAATATAACTTCAGGTACATTATACTTAATACAAAAATATTTACTAACAAGAGTTAGAATGTAGCGTTTCCTAATACTTTTATAAAGAAAAGGTAAAATGACACGCAATTACAAGTATGAGCTACACTTGGATTAACTTAAGACCAACTTTTCCATTTCAACAACAAAATAAGACAGAACAAACTTGAATTGTTCGGAAATTTTAATTAATATCTGACATTAATAAATAAAAGTTTTGTATTAGT